CTCTCTCTCTCTCTCTCTCTCTCTCTCTCTCTCTCTCTCTCGTCGTCTGTCTTCTTGCTTTCTTACCACCGTAATGTGTGTGATGTGGGTATCTTGTCATGTTTTTAATTTTTATTTCCCTAATGATTAGTGCTATTAAGTACCTTTTCATGTGGTTATTGGCCATTCATATATCTTCTTGGAGAAATGTCTATTCAGTTTCTTTGCCCATTTTTGAATTAGATTATTTGTTTTTTGGTATTGAGTTTTAGAAGTTCTTTCGGTATTCTGAATGTTAGTCCCTTATCAGTTAAGTGATTTGCCAATATTTTCTCCCATTCCATTGGCTGCCCTTTTTAAAAAATATTTTATTGGGGAATTGGGGGAGGGGAACAGTGTTGGGGAATCGGGGAAGGGGAACAGAGAAGTTGCTGTCCTTTTGTTCTTCAGTCCAGTTGTGGAGGTCATCACCTCACTGGCCCACGTTGGTATTATCATTGCGCTCTTCCTGGGTGAGGCCGTCACTCGCCGGCCATTAGACGGCTGCTCACAGGGACTTATGGCAGCTCACAAAAGCTCACACCCACTGCTGGCCAGCCTCGCTGCAGCCTGTGCTGTCATTGGCGACTCACAGCAGCCCAGTTCCAGGTCGGGCTGTTGCTCACCATCTTAGCTGTAGAGGGTGCAGTGTTACTGGCCCTCATGTGGGATCCAAACCGGGGCCCTGCTGCTCAAGCCAACTCTTAATAACCAACACGCTACTCAGCTGGCCCCTGTGGGTTGCCTTTTTTACTCTTATTATTAGTGTTCTTTGATGCACAAAGTTTTAAATTTTGATCAAGTCCAATTTTTTCTATTTTTCCTTTTGTTGCCTATGTTTTCCATGTCATAGTCAAGAAAATGCTAAACTCCTGGTCATGAAATTGTTCCCCTCTTTTCTTCTAAGAGTTTTATAATTTTAGCTCTTAGGTTTAGGTCTTTATTCCATTTTGAGGTAATTTTTGTATATGGTGTTAGTGAAGGGTTCAAATGCATTCTTTTGCCGGTGGATTTCCAGTGTTCCCACAACTATTTGTTGAATACACTGACCTTTAGCTATTGAGTGGTCTTGGCACCGTGTTGATGTGACCAATATGCAAAGGTTTATTTCTGGGCTCTAGTTTATTCCATTGGTTTGTATGTCTGTCTTTTTTATTTTTAGGTTTTTATTAAAAAATATAACTAACATACATTATATCAATTTCAGATATACACCATAGTTTTTCAACATTTATATACCTAAGGAGTGACCACCATAAGTTCAGCAACAGCAAACATCTGACATAGTACTATTCTATCACAATATTATTGACTATATTCCATCTATCCTGTACATTACATCCGCATGACTTGTTTTATATCCGGAAATTTGAACTTCTTATTCCCCTTCCTCCACCCCCTTTTAAATTTTTAAATTACAGTTAACATTTAATATTATTTTATGTTAACTTTAGGTGTATAGCATAATGATTAGGTATTTGTATAACTTAAGAAGTGATCCCCCTGACTAGTTTAATACTCACGTGGCACTATCATCGCTATTACCATATTATTGACTATTTTCCCTATGCTTTACTTTAGATTCCCTATGACTATTTTGTAACTACCAATTTGTACTTCTTAATCCCTTCACCCTTTTCACCCTATCACCAACTCCCCTCCCATCTATCACTCCAATAAACCTAGTACCCATCTGACACCATACCTAGTTATCACAATATTATTGACTCTATTCCTGTGCTATAGCCTACATCCCCATAACTACTTTGCAACAACCAATTTGTCCTTCTTAATCCCTTCCCATTTTTCACCCACTCCCTCAACTCCCCTCCCTTCTGGCAACTATCAAAATGTTCTCTGTATCTGAGTGTGTTTCTGTTTTGTTTGTTTATTTTGTTCTTTAGATTCCACGTATACTGAAATCACATTGCATCTGTCTTTCACTGTCTGACATACTCCACTCAGCATAATATCCTCCAGGTTCATCCATGTAGCCGCAGATGGCAAGAACCCATTCCCTTCCATGGCTGAGCAATATTCCATTGTATTGATGTACCACCTCCTCTTTATCCATTTATCTGTCGATGGACACCCAGGCTTCCTTCACGTCTTGGCTCTTGTAAATATTGCTGCAATGAACATGTGGATGCAGACGTCCCCTTGAAACAGTGTTTTGGGTTTCTTCAGATAAATACCCAGAAGTGGAATTATTGGGTCCTTCTTTGTCCCTTGTTATAGCCTTTGTTTTAAAGTCTATTTTGTCTGCTTTTTTTTTCATTTCCATTTTCATGAAATAACTTTTCCCATCCCTTAACTTTCATTCTGTGTGTGTCTTTCAATCTGAAGTGAGCCTGTTGTAGGCAATATATGTAAGGCTCTTGTTTTCTTAGCCATTCAGCCACCTTATATTTCTGATTGGAGCATTTAATCTATTTACATTGAAAGTAATTGTTTATAGATATGTGGCTATAGCCATTTTATTATTCCTTTTTTTGATCTTCTGTCTTGGTTGTAGATCCTTGCTTTTCATCACTTTGAATATTTCCTGCCAGTCCCTTCTGGCTTGCAAAGTTTCTGTTGAGAAACCAGCTGACAATCTTATGGGAGTTCCCTTATAAGTTGCCTTTCTGTTGCTACTTTTAGGATTCTCTCTTTGTCTTTAACCTATGCCATTTTAATTATAATGTGTCTTGGTGTGGGCCTCTTTGGGTTCATCTTGTTTGGGACTCTCTGTGCTTCCTGAGCTTGTATGTCTATTTCTTTGGACAGGTTAGGAAAATTTTCAGTCATTTCTTCAAACAGGTCCTCAATACCTTGTTTTCTCTCTTCTCCTTCTGGTACCCCTATGATGCAAATATTGTTACACTTGATGTTGTCCCAGAGGTCTCTTAAACTAGCCACACTTTTTTTTTGGATTCTTTTTTTTCTTTTGCTGTTCTGATTGGCTGTTTTCTGCTACCTTCCAAATTGCTGACTCAGTCCTCTGTTTCATCTAGTCTGCTGGTGATTTCTTCTAGTGCGTCTTCATTTCAGTTATTGTATTCTTTATTTCTGACTGGTTCTTTTTTATGGTTTCTATGTCTTTTTTTATGCTTGCTATCTCCTTGTTGAAGTTCTCACTAAGTTTCTTGAGCATCCTTATAGCCATTATTTTAAACTCTGTATTTGGTAGGTTGCTTGCCTCCATTTTGTTTAGTTCTTTTTCTGGAGTTTTCTCTTGTTCTTTCATTTTGGATATATTTCTTTGTTTCCTCATTTTGGCTGCCTCTCTATGTTTGTTTCTCTGTATTAAGTATGGCTGCTACATCTCCAAGTCTTACCAGGTAGCCTTATGTAGTAGGGGTCCTGTGTGATCCAGTGGCACAGTCTCCTTGGTCACCTGCACTGGGTGCTCCAGGAGTGTCCCTTGTGTGAGCCCTCCTGTTTTATTTGAGCCTTGATTGCTAATGGCACATCAGTGGGTGGGGTTGACCCTCAAGCTGACTGGCTGTGGGGTTTGGCCACATCTGCAGCTTATAGACTGCTGTGTGGGAAGCTTACCACACAGAGTGGGATTCCCCCCAGCGGGCTCTGGTGGGTATGCTGCTTGTGGGGCTAACTGGATGGTGCTCTGCTGTGGTCTGAAGCCAACCTCCAAGTATGTTTTTTCTGGGGCTGTTGGGAGGGGCTCTGGTGCAGACCCAGGTCAGCCACTGCTTTTGACTGGTCGGGGACTACCTAGTTAAGAGCTACAAAGTGATCCACAGTTGGTTGCTGCCTGTGCTGTTCCTGGATGAGCATGAAGGATGCCACGCTGTGAACTGAGGATGGCTTCCACCAGTACCAGGTCTGAGGTAGCTCCGCAAAAAGCCAGAACACATAGAGGCCTGGTGCTGGTTGCTGGCTCCCATTAGTGGTTTAGCTACTGATGAAGCCTTGTGCCATATGGAATTGGGTGTGGCAGGGTCTCAGTGAGTCATCAGGGTGGAGCGAGTGGAGCTCACCAAACCAATTCAGATTCAGATTTGGCCATGGGCATGGGGGAGAGCTTAACTCATGAAAGATGGCACCAGCCTGCTTGCTGCACAGGAGAAGGACCCCACACCGGGAAAATGATCCCACACAGGGAAAATGATGACTATCTTCCAGCCCACACCCCATAGCCATACACCTCAGTCTGCCCCCATATGTCTCCAAGCCCCCTGAGTCACTGTCCCTCCACTGGAGCCCATGGTGAGTGCCTGTGAGCCTGTGCTGGACCTTTAAAAGGACATCTGAATTTCCTGCAGCCTTTATCCCACCCAGACAGTCGGAATCCCCACTGTTTTTTCACAGCCAAATGTTATGGAGGCTCATGTTCCTGGCTCCAATATTCTGGTTTGGGGAGGCTGGTGTTGGGGATGGGGTCCCTTACTCTTGTTGGGGAACCTCTGTGGCCAAGATATCCATTTCAATTTTCATCCTCCACGTGGAAGTTTGGGGCTGCCTCATGTTGAATCTCTGCCTCTTCTACCAGTCTCAACATAGCTTCTTTATATCCTTAGTTGTAAAACTTCTGTTCAGCTAGACTTCAGATGGTTCTCTAGGTTGATCATTCTATAATTTAGTTGTAGTTTTGTTGTGTTCACAGGATAAGGCAAGCACAGCATTGACCTACTCCACCATCTTGGATCTCTCTTGTATGTCTGTCTTTATGCCAGTATAACACTGTTTGATTACTGTAACTTTGTGGTAAGTTTTGAAATTGGAAAGTGTGAGTCCTCCAACTTTGTTCTTTTTTAGGATTGTTTTGGCTATTTGTGGTTCCTTGCATTTCTATATGAATTTTAGGATCAGCTTGTCAATCTCTGCTAAGAAACCAGCTGGGATTTTGATTGGGGTTGCATTGACTCTGTAGACCAATTTGGAAAGCATTTTCATCTTAACAACATTAAGTCTTACAGTCTGTGAACACAGGGTGCCTTTCCATTTATTTAGATCTTTAATTTTGTTCAACAATGTTTTATAGTTTTCAGCATGCATGTCTTTGATTAAATATACTCCTAAGTAGTTTATTCTTTTTGAATCTATTGTAAATGGAATTGTTTTTCTAATTTCCTTTTTCAGATTGTTAGTTGCTAGTTTTATATACTGCAACCTTGCTGTACTTGTTTGGTGGATTCCTTAGGATTTTCTGTGTACTTAATTAATCCTTTACTGTATAGTCATGGTGTGTAATCTGTCTTGGTGTAGAATTAACCCCTGGTCGTTTGCAGAATGTAAAAGAATTTATGAGACTCTACAAGAGTAAACAAACATTTATTGACAGGAGAGAGAGAGGGAGAGGGAGGGAGATCGAGAGAGATCTGTTTAAAACTGGCAGAAGTTTTGCAAGGGCAGAGTCTGATGGAGACAGCTGTGGAGACAGAGGGGTAAGAAAGAGATACTGGCAGGAGTTTAGCCAGGGCAGAGTCTCTTTGGGGAACAGCTGCACCAATGAGGAGTACTGGGTTGTATATTTTTCCATACAGGATATAGGGTGCTTGTCAGCTTGCAGGGAGGCTGCCATTACAATTGTCTTCTCCTGGGACCTGTCCTGTTCCCTATGATGGATGTCAGCTTGCAGGGGGTTGCTGTTGCAATTGGAAACTGTTCTTTTCCCACCTATGATGGGTGTTTGTTAGTTTGCAGGGGGTTGCCGTTGCAACTGGGAACTGTTCTGTTCTCACCTATGGTAAATGTAAGGTGCTTGTCAGCCTGCAGGTGCAGTGCTAGCCAGGGGAGTCAGAGCCAAGCAGTTAATGTTTAGCTAGCTCCTGTTAACTCACAAGCTCACTCCTGTTAACTCTGCTTGTCTCATCATAATCCTGTTTGTAAATTGCCAGAATTAGTTTGCTAGTATTTTGTTGAGGATTTTGCATCTATTTTAAGGGATATTGATCTTTAATTTTCCTTTCTCATGATGTCTTTGGTTTTGGTAATACCGGCATCATAGAATGAGTTGGGAAATCTCTAATTATAATTGTGGATTTGTCTTTCTCTCCTTTTACTTCTATTAGTCTGTTTCACATATTTTGCAGCTCTGTTGTTTGCTTCATACGTATTTAGGATCGCTATGTCTTCTTGGTGGGTTGACCCTTTTATCATTATTATATAATGCCACTTTCTGGTAATTTTCTTTGCTCTGAAGTCTACTTTATTTGATATTAATATAGCCTCTCCTGCTTTTTTTGATCAATGTTTATATGATATATTTTAGGTTCTTTCAACCTACCTGTATCGTTATAATTGAAGTTTTTTGTGGACATCATATAGTTAGCTCATGCTTTTTAATTCACTTTGCCAATTTGTCTTTTAATTGGCATATTTAGACCACCTTTATAGTAATTATTGATATATCAGGGCTTATGTTTGCCATTTTAATTTTTGTTTTCTGTTTATGCTATTTTTCATTTCCCTGGGTTTTTTTCCTGCTTTCCACTGGGTGAACTTATCTCTAGTGTTTTTGAGTATATCTCCTTGAATGGCTTTTTTTAGTGATTGCTCTAGGTATTAAATTTATATAACTTATAGGTTAATAATGTCATCATTTAATCAGTTGCAGTGAAATATAGAAGTCTTACCGTACTTTCTGTCTTTACCCTCCCCATTCAATATATAATTGTCTTAAATATTTTCTTTACATACTTTTAGGACCATATCAACCAGTGTTATAATTTTTGCTTCAATTGTCAAACATAATTTGGAAAACTCAGGAGAAAAACTCATTGTATTCACCCATATTTTGTTTGCTGTGTTCTGCCTTCCTTCCTGATATTCTGAGATTCCTTCTTTTATTGTTTCCTTTCTATTTAGAGAATATCCTTTTACCATTATTTTAGAGTAGGTCTATTGGCAACATATTTTCTTTGTTTTCCTTCATCTGGGGATGTTTTGATTTTCTTTTCATTCCTGAAGCATATTTTCTGTGGGTATATAATTCTGGATTGACAAGGTTTTGGTTTTGTTTTGTTTTTAGTTCTTGAAAAATGAACCACTATGGTTTCCATGGTTTTTGATAAGTCAGCTATCATTCAAGTTGCTTTTCCACTGTAAGTAAGGGGTTGTTATTCTCTGGCTGCTTTCATTTTTTTTTCCTTCGTCTTCGGTTTACAGTAGTTTATGTGGATCAGGATGGAGGTCTTTGCTTTGATCCTGTTTGGGTTTCACTAAACTTCTTGAATCTATAGGTTTATGTTTCTTGCCAGATTGGGAATTTTTAGCCACTATTTCTCAAATATGTTTTTAGCCCCTCTCTTTTTCTCCTCTCCTTCCAGGACTCAGGGGACCCCAATGTCAGACCTTATTACATAGTTGCATTCTGAATCTTTGTTCTTTTTTTTAAAATTCGTCTTCTCTCTGTTGTTCAGACTGAGTAATTTCTAATGTTCTGTGTTCTCTTATCAGTTTGTTGATTCTTCTGTCCCATACACTCTGCTGTTGAGCCCATCTACTTTTTATGTTTTTCAGTCCTGAAATTTCTATTTGGTTTTTCTTTATGTCTTCTGGGATTGTTTGCTGTGAATTTCTTTTTCTTTGTTGATGCTTTCTGTTTTTTCTTTACTTTCAAGTGTTTCTGTATTGCTCATTGAAGCATTTTTATGAGGGTTCCTTCAAAATTTTTGTTAGATAATTCTCACATTTCTGCTATCTCAAAGCTGTCATCTATTGGTGGTTGTTTTTTCATTCAGCTTGACATCTTCCCCTTTTGAGTATGGTAAGTGAGTTTCAATTGAAAACTGGACATTTTCACATTATGTTATGACATCAGATTTTACTTAAACCTTCTCTGTCATCTGGTTTTCTGTGACACTGCTCTGGCTGGGGTGTGTGGCCTCATTACTGCCAAGTGGAGGTAAATGTTCAGGCTTCAAACATTAACGTCTGGCGGGGAGACCCTTGTTCCATTCCAGTTCCTGCTTGGTCTCTACCAGCACCATGCTGGTGTTGTCCTTGTTACTGCCAGGTGATGGTGAGAGTCTTAACCCTCCAGTAGGCCTTTTCTGAAGCCATGCCTGCTGGGAGATGAAAACTCCTGTCTCCTGCTGGAGAGAGGTGGAATCCAGGCTCCCTGTATAGTCTCCACTGCCTCAGCAGCAGGTATAGAGGGTGGGCCGTTACTAGCTGTTGGGGATGAACGCTTGGCTTCCTACTTGCCCTTCTCTGAGGCTACCTTGGCAGGAACATTGGGCTCCTCGTTGCAGTCTTGAAAGGATGAATGTCTTGGTTTCCTCTTTGGCCTTTGATGATGTGAGTGGGGATAGGCCCATTGTTCGTTCTCTTTTTTTTTTCTCTCTCTCTCTGTGTCTTTTTGCTACCTCCACTGGTTTTTTAGGTTGCTGGCATTTTCTGTGCCAAGTCAGGGATATATGAAAGAAAAAGAAAACCCAGGGAACTCACTGCCATGTTTTCTCTTGTGTCTCAAGGTCCCTGTCAGACTCTTTACTTCTCTCTGCCTTTCAGTCTTCTTATGTTTGTTTTATATAAAATGACTGGGGCTTTAGTTGTACTGAGCAGGAGGGATAGAAGAAAGTATGTCTATTCCATCTTCCTGCAAGTGGAAGTCTGCTGAGTCTGTTTTAACAGGTTATCACTTTATGTATTAAATATTGTTTCTTCTAGTAAAATTATTGGGTTAAAATAATGTATTTCATAGCTAAACTAACATAAGATACAGAAGTATTTTCTAAAGGGCAATAGATGAGAATCAGTTTCCCTAATAAAAGAAGGCAAACCTTTTAAATCTAACTCTGCTTCCTGTGCCTAGGTTGGGACGAACACCATGGATAATCCTCTCTTGAAGTACAGTGCAAAGGATTACTTCTTTAAAGCAGCCCTCTGTCACTTCATAGTTGATGAGTTGAATGCCAAGGTAAAGAGTCCTTCAGCACTGTTTTTCTTATACACATTACCCATGAAAGCAGGCCTCACTCAGGCACTCTTGTTCTTGATATTCCTTCGTTTGGGTGGTATTCATTAGTAGCAAGACTAAACTGAATACATTAAAAAATAATATTATATGTGTCCCAGCTGTAATCCTGTAACAACTACCAAAAGTGTTCTCTTAAAGTTCCCTGGTAGCCACATTTTATTCAGTAGTTTTGCCTTAAAGAAATTAGAAGGCAAGAGGGAGACAATAAAAGTAGAATAACTACCTTTTTGTTTTTAAACTCAGAAATGGAATTGGAATGAGGATGGGGAGAAAATGAAAGCTGAGAGACAAGAGACAGAGACTTGGGTAACTTGTTGTCAGTGTCTGGAGTTGGAAGAGCAGAATTGAAGCCATTAAGAGGAAAAGCATTCTTCCCTCAAGCCTTGAGCAGTGGTCTAACTGTGATTTTTTGGGAATCTGGACAGTGTTAAGGAAAAACTTCTCCACTTAATGGATGAAAACAGACACCTGGTCTCTGAGTTTTTAAGAATTAGATTTGACTCGTGACGTCTCCTCTACAGCAACCTAATTCAGAAAAATTGGTTTAGAAATTTAACTAAAGTTGAAAATCAAAATAGATAGGATTCCTATATTGATTTTGATGTTGAGTTTAACAGCATACTTCTTATACATTTAAATGGGATGTAGATAAATCTTACTGAAGTTAATAAAATGTTCAAAGTTTTGTTTCTTGGTTTAGTGAGTCAGACATTAACAAGTGGTTTTTCTATCTTCAGCTTGCTCTTGAGAAATACGAGGAAATGTTTCCAGCATTTACTGATTCAAGAGAATGTAAATTGTTGAAAGTAAGTAATATTAGAACTTTGAAGAAAAAAGCCTTTGCTGTCAGATTAGGAGGGGTTGCATATGAAGTGAAGTTTTTTGTTTTGTTTTGTATTGTTTTGCAAATTGTCTTTTAAATTTATTTCTGAGGTAAGACAAATGGAAGGAAAATGTTTCTATGAAAAAATACTGTGTGTGTAGGAAATAGTCACAATTTTACCCCACATGGATACAAATTATTGTACTTTAATTTAGGCCCTGGTGGCTTAAAATTATATAACAAAATAGAAAAATGGAAAACTAATATCCCCTACCCCCCTTTTCAAAGGCAGGCACTACCAAGATCAAGAAGACATCACAGTGTTGGTAGAGGATAATTACTATATGAATTGTCTAGCTGTAATTACCTTCAGACTAAAATAAAGTGCTACAGTCCTTCTAAGGCATAAACAGTAATGGTCTGCAAACAATATATACACATAATACATATTTAAAACAAGTATATACAGGTCAATTTTTTTTCACTGTCTTGAAATACAATTTACACAAATGATGCAGATATATATATATATACACATATATACATATATATACATATATATATACTTGTAGCTCTACAGTAAAGTTTATTTTTGATTCTTTTATAGCACATCAGTGTAAACAGTTTAAGCTGGCTTTGTTTTATATTTTAAAACATTCCTTGTTGTATTTTCAAGATTTAAAGCAATTTTCTAGTTCTTTTTCACAGAAAACGAAATGGAACTTCTTACCCAGCAAACTATTTTTTCCATATTTTATGTTACTAGAAACTTCTAGAAGCTCATGAAGAACAGAACAGTGAAGCTTACACTGAAGCAGTAAGTTATGTCCTTGTGATATAGTACATTCTTTGAAGGTTTAAGTTACAGAAACTTTTTTTTCTTTTCATTGTGTAAATGCTGATCATTTATTTAAACATTCTTCCAGTATACCTAAGTTGTATTTTCAAAGGTTTCAAAGGTTGTGTTTTATATATCCACAAACCTATACGATTAGAAAGTTCCATTAGCCGTGGTGAATTTAGTTGTGAGGCAAATTCAAGAGAGAATATCACATATTGTTATGATTTGCTGTTTGAGTGCTTTCTTTTGAGAATAATCTGTTCTGTAAATAAGTGTAAAGTAAAATCAGTTAAATATAATTTAAAATATAAAAACAAAGCAGTGAGAATTTGCCATATTTCTGGCATAAAATAAATGGAAGATTTTTTTCTTTATATTCATCATTCTGTATTCCCTTCTTATCCCATCTTATGTTTAGGATAAAGCAAATTTCTCAGTGTGCTCCATTAATATATTCATCATGGCTTTGAAGAAATAGTGGAAAGGAATGTTTTCCCATTTAACTATTGCTACAAAACCATTTTCATCCGATTGAAGTGTCATTATTTGGTAATGTGTTGGAAGGAGTTAAAGGAATTGTTTCCTCACATCCGGTCTCTGCTAGTACATTCTTCATGTTCAGTGAAATTGGAGCAGTATTAATTTTCCATATTCCCTTCTAATTCTTATGCAAGGTCTGATTTCCTTTGTCACATTAAATGTGCTCTTCTTCCAATTATGAAGGCTCTTAGGAATTTTTGCCATCACATGTTAACATACAGAGCAATATGAAAGGCACAGGAATTTGACAATAGCTCCATTAAAACAGGATAATGAAAGGGCCGACAGAGTGGTGCTTTGGTTAAGAACTGGCTTGGGATGCCAGAGGGCCCTGGTTTGGATCCCACATATGAGGGCCAGTGACACTGCCCTCTACAGCTAAGATACTGAACAACAGCTCCACCTGGAGCAGGGCTGCCATGGGTCGCCGGTGACGGCGTGGGCTGCAGTCCCCTGCTACAGTGGGCTGCCATAAACTACCGTGTGTAGTGGGCAGCCAGCGTGAGTGGCCAGCAGCTGCAGTGAGCGGCCATCCAGAAGCCGGTGACTGATCTGCCTCATCCGGGAAGAGCGCAATGATGGTGCCAGCTTGGGCCAGTGAAGCAACGTCCTCCACAACTAGACTGAAGAACAAAACAACAGCAACTTGTCTGTTCCCCTTCCCCCGATTCCCCAATAAAATCTTTAAAAAAAAAACAGGATAATGAAAAACTAAACAATTTTTAATGAAGAAAGTTATGAACTAGAATGAATAATTTTAAAAAATGTGGTAGATTACCACTGTATATGTTTAAACAGTTTGGGACACTTGTTTTATATTTCAATTGTATTTCCGTGGACTAATTCCTATTCCTCTTCCCTTTAACTAGGTGAAGGAATTTGACTCAATATCTCGCTTGGATCAGTGGCTTACTACCATGTTGCTTCGTATCAAAAAGTCCATCCAAGGGGATGGAGAGGGAGACGGAGACCTAAAGTGAGACATTTATAAGTCTTTGTAGCATGCAGCTAAGTTTCATCTTAGGGCTTTCCTCTTTAGTTTCATCTTAGGTCAGGTGATCTTTATGGGATTTCCATTTAATGGCTTAATTTTGTTGCACATGAGCCAAATGATGTGTGTATTGTTTAAGCTTGCCATGTTTGTGTCACTGTCAGGCGATGAGTGAGAAGCTCCTGTGCATATTATGGGTGTGATGGGCTATTTCATGCTTGTCAGAGTCCCCATAGTTTTCTGAGAACTACTTCAGAATTTTGTTCCTGTTAATTTGATATTTGTAGAGCTCATGTTTAATTTTACCATATATATTTATGTCCTTTTTCTTGGACTTGAGTACCCAGCCCAATTGTTCTCACCAACGCTTTGCATATTCTCTGTAAATTTGCATCTGGATGTATTCTCTAAAAGTATGTGTTTAGTTTAGGGTGGTTGTTAGGAATGAGTTTATGACTTTTCTTATTAGAAATTTTTGTTGTTATCTTGTGATTCTTTTGATGGTTTTAGTGACCAGCTTCTTTGCTTTTGATATTGTTCTGCATGCTAACGTGAATGCGAAAATTAGAACAACCCGGGTCTGCCAGTATCTCTTATGTTGTGAGAAAAGGGAGCTTCCTGGCAGTGCTTACCTACTTGCCTATGTGTATGGACGAATATCAGCATGGGTTTGACTGACTGCTTTTTGTACACACACACACACACACACACACACACAATTTATGAGAAATAGAATTTTTCCATTTCCTGGTCATAATTTCCACTTTTAGTTGGGGTGAAAATCCCTTTCTTTATGTTCACATAAAGGTGTTTTAACTGGCACATCCTTTTTCTTTTTTTTTTCCCCCACATTTATACAGTCATTTTATTATTTTTATTTATTTATTTATTTTTGCATCCATTTCTTTTTTTATTAAATTATTTTTTATTATGAAATACACATTTTTTATAATTAGTTTCAGCTGTACAACACAGTGCACATCCTTTTTCTTTATCTCCATGTATATATACTTTCCCACACTGAGATGGTACCCTCTATGCCCCGGTCATGTAAATCCTCATCAGGGCTGGGAGATTATTTAAGTCAAAGCTTGATAAAGTGTTTCATTAATTTTATGGTTTTATTGAATGTGATGAGTTAGGTAGGGTAAATATGGTATGGCGCTTAATGTATAACTCTGACTAGCAAAGAACTCCAACTAGCTCCTGAGGGGACTTTTTCTGTTAGTTGATGGAATTGTTTTAGCTTGTGTGTTTGAACTCTGTTCTTTTATTTTGGTTTACATAATATGTACTCTGTTGGATTTATGAACTTGATCTCTACCCATTATGTTATATGCTGACATTGTACTTTAGATGTGGTCTTGTTTTTTGAATCTCCTCTTCTATGCATATTTTTAGGCTTAAATGACTTATGTTTGTTGTGCATTGGTTGCCAGACATAGCCTGTTTCTTTCTAAATTGTGCTGCAGTCATTAATGACAGGTAATGAAACTTCCCATGTTATGTTAGGTAGTAACTGGTATTTAAATGGTGTTTCATTTTTGGACGGCCCTCAACTGGAATTAGTAGGCTTTTGTTGGGCAGAAGTAGAGTGGGTGTGCCTAGACCAAGGGCTCAGTGAGGAGGAAGGTTTGGGGATGGTGAATAGATCAGTCTGGGATGAAGGAGAAAGTAGCAGGAAAGGAAGTTGGAAAGGGCCAGCTGAGGCCCAATTGTGGAGGCTATTTCTCAGGTGGCTGTGAGAGTTCACTGGCCATTGTAGTGGGGTGACATGCATGAGGTGGAACGGTGGAGGGGAAGGTTAGTGGTGTCACAGTGTCAGTTGAGGGTAGAGGGAATGAATCAGAAGACATGGACACTGGTATTGGGCCCTGGAATCTGATGAGGATTTCTTTCTTCCTTCAAAGGTCAGGGATTCTTAAAAGATAGCTGGCTATCGCTTACAGTACAATTTGGAACGGAGTTCATTTGCTACTTATTACCTGTTGGACTCTCTTATGAAAATATTATAAGAGAAAAGTGGGTTTTTGTTGCTTTACCTAACCTATTCCACAACCAGCCAAATGCACTTTTGTGGTTTTTTCCAAATGCACTTTTGTGAAAGTGAGTCATGGAAAGTGCTTTTGTAGCTGGTGAACTCTGGCCATAAGTCTGTCCCATCTGGAGAGCATTTAAATCCTAGCCAGCCACATGCTTCTTTCATCACTAGTCTAGAAAGTTTGTTTCCACTTGTTAAAAGAATCTTCTGGTCTGGCCACTTAAAGGAAAAACCAAATTATTTCTTTTAAGGCAATTCCATTTAGCTTTCCTCATGATCCCCTAACAAACCCCTGTCTGAAAGAGTTATGGTTTTTAAAAATAGTTTTGGCAACATTTTCTGTCAATCAGAGACTTGCTTGTGTTGAAATAAACACTGGGATCAGTGCCTGAGTTAAGAATTTTTAAAAATATTTCACACGAAAGAGTAAAAATAACTATAACGACTAGAACAAACCTGCTAGAAGATAAAAGGAAAATGAGAGGGAAAATGTTCTATTAGCAGTGTCCAAACTTCCTTCTTTGAGATGTCCCATCAATGAACATAAGAGTAGTACCATGACTCAGACGCCCAAGCTAGGTTCTCAGGATTTATAGAATGTTATTTATGAACAAAATATAATGACTGTTTATGCTACAGTTCTTGTATTTTAACAAATATGGGGTTAGTTCATAGTCAAAGTCAGTTAAAATTTCTTACGGGAAAGCTTTGCTTTTTGTGGCAACATTTTTATAGCTTGTGTGAGTTCTTTTTTGTTTATTTTAAAACAGTATTTTTGCACAGTCATGACTGTGTGTGATGGTGTCACTATAACCAAAATGTGTGCATTTATTGTTTTCTCTGCTACTGTGCATTTAAAATGTCCAAATGCAAACCTTTGTGGCTTTCTTTGGAGGGTTTGGCAGCACAGCATGTGACCCACCACCTGTGGTGTGCGCATAGGCTCCTGCCTGTGAAGTTATGAATCGGTCACTGTGGTGTTCTTCCTCATGCTCTTGGGTGGAGGATTGTATTATGAAAATTAACCATGTGACGATAATTCTACCATAGCAGAAAAGAGTATGTATGTTTTTCGTGAACCTGTACAGTAAATAAAGTGGAAATTATGAGTAATATTTTGACAGGTCTTTCCTAGGTAAGTTTACACAGATCAATAATACCTTCCTTTTCTTGACATTGTCCCTATTAAGTTTAAGGCAATGGGCATTAATATTCTCTAGGCAGGCTCTTTGAATATCCATCCAAACATGAGTTTGACGATGTTAAAATCTGTTACTTGGTGGAAATTCAGGGCACTGTAATGGTTTTGCACCTGAGGGTTTATGAAAGCAGCCCTGGTTACAGTCTGTTGTTGCAGTCCACTGAGTTTGCACGATGACTGTAAGCTTCACTTCTTGCTGCCCTGTTAAGGAATGTTGCCTGCATCCTTTAGGCTACAGTCAGTTTTATAGTTGAGGGAGGATTGGTTCCTAGAAGACTCTTAGGTGTCGGGGGAATGGGGGATGAGGAACCCTGTAGCCATTCAGCTGTTGGCAGTGTGGGCATTTCTTTAACTTTGCAGATGTCTATACAGGGTTAGCACATGCCCCTGGGGAGGGTTGGCCACTCAGGCCCCAAGTGGAGGAAGAGGATGCCATATGGGGTAGTGCAGGCCAGCTCATCCTGTCAGAGAGCAGTGTTCAGGTCTGTGAGCATATTCACAATAACTTATAGAGAATGCAAAGCAAAGTTTGAAAACTGAACAGAAAGGCCATCCCAGCCTAGAAATTCTGAGAAGTTGTTGATCATTCAAGGTTAGCTTATCTCAGAATCATTTCCTAATTGAAAGAAGCCACCATAGTGGTTTAAAATCTGGTTTTGTTAGTCTTGCTGAGTCCCTGTAGATTGGCAAAAGTAAGTGGGTGGTTTCTGGGGCTTAGCCTGGGTGATCTTTGGAGTTTGGGTTGAGAATATTTCCCACAAGATGGTTGGAAGGCACTAAATCACCTCCCCAGTCACCTGTCCTAATGCTCTAGAAGCAGTGCCAGCACCAAGGGCAGTTACCTAATCAGGGATTTGGGACTGACATATGAGAGTGTAGCCTTACTTTCACTCAGGGAAGCTGTATTTGGCTTAAGAGAAATAGGTGAAGATAGATCACTTCTACAAGGTTTTCAGATTTCTGTTCTCAGGGGCAGCCTTACTTCCCAGAAAAGAGAGAGAGAAACAGATATACTAGAGAAATCTCTGTGATACAAACCTGGGCATAACATTGAAGAAACCAGCCCACTTACATACTCCACAGCACCAGTACACGGTTACTTCTATGTAAGCAGAAGTCAGTGTTACTTATCACCAGGCCTTTCACTTCTAAAAAAATAAGTGTGATCCACATAGTTAAAATAAAAGAGATTAATCCTAGGACTACAGACCTTGATTTTAAACTTCATTATCCATGAAATTAAGGAAAATTATACTTGTTTCAATCTACAGAGCCTAAATTTTAATAATGGAAATAAACTTAAGACTTGCAAAGCAAGTTTTACAAAGCAAACATTTATTAACACATTAAACAATTTTTTATAGAATTTCTAAAGAAACAAATTCAAGACAAAAATTCTTCCAGTAGGTAACAAAATAATCTATTATTTAAATTTCTTCTCATTGAGATGACTTTACTCCATGAAACAGTACATTGGCTGGGCAGGTTCATTCTCTTACCTAGAATAAAATGGTTGTGTGACGGTCACTTTTTTTGTTTTGTAAACACAACTAGGATATGTTGTCATAATTGAATTTGAAGTAGTTCAGTACTGCTATCTTCAAGAGCAGGTGTGAAACATGTTATCAGCACCTAAAACACCTTATAGTGGCTTTAGCATGTAACATGTTACAAACTAGAATAAAATAAGCACTTAGGAAGAAAGTCTTCCCTCAGTTTCTGGCATAATGCAGCTGTCTTCATCCTGGAACTTATGGATAAAGTAACTTTCTCTTAACAAATGAAAGTGTTTTCACAGCAAGTTTAATAAATTAAAATGTAGAAAAACAACTGGTGAACAAAATAATTCTCCTTCAAGGTTCTTTTAAATTAATGTTTAGGGTTACATGTGAGTCAAAGCATTTCATAAGCACACAACAAACAAAAGCCATTGGAACCAAGAATCAGGCTTAGCAAAAACAGCAGAATCTTTTCATTCATTGCAAATTCATTCTGGCAATAATTAAGTCTAGTATAAGACAGCCAAAGAAAGGCGCATTTAAGACAAAACTTACTGGTTCTTCACAACATACTCTTAAGGCATAATTGATAAGTGTGCCAAGGCTTTTGATCCCTTCTATATTCTCACATGCTCCCAAGGAAATAAGTGTGGCAACACTTGCCTGTTTCTAGCTCTTGATGTAGAAATGAGGAAGTTTGAGTTGCTGAAGAGTTACAGAAATTAAGTCAGAAAGACCAAGCAAAAATACTAACACTCTGTGCTCTAAGAATCACCTCATTGCTACTTGTGAATAAAATGACTACACAATGTTCAAGTGTTCTTAAGCCTCTTGCTTAATTTTTCACACCTCTTTGCATATACTGTACAGTTTGCTGCTAAAATCTTTGGTAGGACAGTTTTTACATTATTGGATTTCTAGAAATGAAACTGAACAGCCACATTTCATTTTAAAAGCTACTTTATGACCAATTTCCTAGCTGCATATGTGCTTGCTGTGAGTAGAGATTATACTTAGTTTTTTTCTGTTTGATTTGTCATTCCTTTTTTAGTTGAGGATAGGGGAGGGGAATTAATGCAGTAATTCATTTCTTCAGTCCCATTCAAGAGTCCCTAGAGCAAATCTGATTTGCTTCAATTCAACAGGGAAGAAACTGGAAATACATGGCCCCAATTTTATTTCAGCTTGGCAGAAAAATACCTTAAAGGTACCAGAGAAATAAACCGAATTGGAAGCATAAGGCAGGCTAAGAGACCAAGGAGACCATTAACAGCAATTTCATGAGCTGGATCAATGCTATTACTCTACTATTAAGGTAAACAGTTGTCCAAACTTCATATACATCAAGATAATAAGCATTAGAATGATTAATGCATATAGCAGCCTACTCCAGAATTAAGTGAGGTTATGTGAATTGCCATGTTTGTTGATAAAGTGTAGCTGAGGTCATGCAGATCAGAATTTAGGAGAAAGCTTTAAAAATGCTTTGATAAAGATGTGCATGTTATCAGAAATTTAAGAAAATCTGCAGAAATCATCTTGCCCACTTCTTTGCCTGCAGACAGTTCTTTTTCTTAGCCCCTGATATCATCTTGCATAAAGCTTTTACACACACAAGACACAGGATGGGACCTGCTTGGCAGATAACTTTAAGCTCCTATTCCATGCTGGTCAAAGAGTGAAGTTGTGTGGGCATCGAGTCTGTCTGTGGAGTCAGCTCGCTAAGCTCACTGATGGTAGTGGCCAGCAGAGTATCCTGGGACACCACAGAATCGTCCGATTTGCAGGCTGTATGAGCACAACTGTTCTCATGCATGGTAGGTATGCTGTCTTGGACTGTGGCCAGGTTGTGAAAATGGCCATTTTCTGCAAAAGTCAGCAATTTATCTGAAAGTTTGGATGATGCATATTCTCCATCAGGCTGTTCAGTCTTGTGTCCTTCACCATTCTTTGGTGAGCCATCTACAATAACAAGGAAAGACTTCCATGGAGTATTCTTATCGTGTATCTATAAATTAATCACAAAACAAAAGTCAATGAATGTGTCTGAACAAATATCTGTAAATCTTCCAATTCACAGCTACTTAGTAACAATAGTCTCTTAAAACAATTGTTTCTCTTCAACTTAAGTTTCTACTGCAGCAGACTGTTTTTCACTAATTGTTGTTATCTTTTTACCATCACTATTGCTGTTAGAAAGTGTTGATCATGGATTGTGTCTTCCTGGGCCTCAAGACTTGGTACTGTACTTCATTCACACTGTGAATGTGGTCACTGCAGAGAAAACCTGAGGAAGAAATACCTGTTGTCTTCTATAACCACCTTATGGAATGACAGGCATTTCTGACTATCCAGGGTTATGCATACCTAGGGACCAACAATTTGTCATTCTTAAGCCATACTGTTGCTTACTGAGGTATGTCGCCGGAGAGTGGACTTGTCAGTAAATGTCCTTCCACATGCGTTACACATGAATGGCTTCTCTCCTGTGTGGATCCGATGGTGGCGCTGGAGAGCATTGAGCTGGGTGAACTGCTTACCACACTGGTCACAACAATAGGGACGTTCCCCTGAGACATGAAGCGAAGATAATTGGTTGATCTCTTTAGCTTGCTGTATTTAATTTGAATACAATCTGGAATAATGCTATTTGTAAACCACTGGAAAGTGTCAGCCTTCCACCATAAGGAAAATTACGCTGGGAATGATTCAAGGTTCAACTGACAGGTACAAATCTACTACCTCTATACCGGTTTCCTGGATCCAAAAGTAGAGTGTTCCCGGGAAAACTTTAATAAGCTAAAATGGCATAAAGTGAAGAGTATTCCCCCACTTTCTGAAAATTCATGTTACACTTTTTTCAGTTACTGAAAACAGGTGGTAATGTAGGTCTTTTGTAAAAGTGAAGTGGCCTAATGTGAACTTTTGGAAAATAAGAATACAAGTAATACCAAGAGTTTATGGCCTATACTAACAGTGGGCCAAAATCCATACCTGGAGCTGGTATTACCACTATAGAAATTTCACCTGTTTTCCATAGTAATGGAATATAAAATTCCAAGTCCCACAATTGAATTTACATGCATGTGTATATACACTAATATGTATAGATCCTAATTCTAATCTGAAATGTTAAAATGTTCACATATCCATACCTTTTCAGTTTCTCAGAACCAGAAACTAGAAACTCAAAAATTTTTAAATGCTACTATGACACACAAAGTTTGGCTAAAGTCTTTTCCTAAAGCTAAATTCCAAATTATATAATAAGTCAAAACCTTTGGGATATTTTTCTTGCCACACTGAACTCCGTTCTCTGGTGACATTCCAGCCATACCTGTGTGGACTTTAATATGCTGGTAAAGGGAATTCCGCTGGGCAAAAGTCCTGAAACAAACTTCACATTTAAAGGGTTTGGATCCAGTATGGATTCTATTGTGATGTTTTAAATACTCCTTAGAAGCAAAACTCTTGCCACATGTTTCACACATAAAAGGTCTTTCACCTACATGAAAAAAATGAAACAAGAAGTTACAAATGATACAGGCACTAGAACACAGGAAGAGTGGGTCCACACTCTAAAACCCATGCAAACTTCTCAAAAGCAGCTAGTTTGGTGGGCAGCATGTTACAGTTTCTAGTTAAAACTGTCACAAAATATCTATTCATGTAAAATGCTACTTTCTGAAAATTGGTGTACAATATTTTTGGAAATCCCAAGAAAGATTCCACTAGACTAGAATTAAAGAGATCATTCAACCAGCTCACATTTTGGAAATTCAGTCATTCTAAACAAAGTAGTTATACATCTTGTTTGGAGAAATTTAGATTTTTTTTGAAGAAGCAATTCTGTGGACATTTATCAAAATCAAAGTCCCTCTTGAAAGGAGAGGACGTTTACATTGGCTACATATACATAACTATTCTAGAGTAGCAACTCCAAGAAATTTGGATTAGATTACAGGAAAGAAAAAAATGTTTGAATACCACTTCACGTTTAGTTTGAATCCTTTAATTCCACAAAGCAGACTCATCTGTTTATTAGGTATACCCCTGATTTCACAAACATCAAAATAAAAATACTGGCTTTAGTAAAATCTGAATATATTAATATTTTCATCAAATGACTGATTTTAACTTAATCTTTCAGTATGATCTGTCTTCAGTATGTATTAGACATCAATTCTGCTGCTCGTTTTATAGTCTAGTAATTCACATCATTAACTGCTTCATCTCTGTTTCACCTGCACTTGAACTTGAGGATCATTACAGAAGTAAAAAAATTTTTAAATACAAGCAAGTAAGAAGGAACTGGGTTAGCATGTATATAACAGTCTGTACAGTTCTCATAAACAACAGGGTTTTCTGAACCTCAGGGTTACTGTGCTGAATCAGAATAAAGCCAACTTAAATCTTCTCACTCACATAATAAAATATCACAAAAATTTTGGAATATAGAAATGAGATAATTCCACCACCATAATACACCTTATAGTTGGGATTAACTGTATGCTTAATTGTGCACTTCTCAAGTCAACATCCAAGCATGGGGTGTTTTTCAGAACATTTATAGCCTTCACCCCAAATGGCCAGGGAGTGAGCCAGGAAAGGGTAGATTTTCCAGTTTTACTGAACTAGTGTGGTTGGATAATCATGTTCTTTCTAATGATTTTTTAGAAAAAGCGAGAAGAAGAAAAATAATAGCATATAGCTTTTTCCGAACAATTTCTTTAGGACAGATTCCTGAAAATGGAATTTGGGACTAAAGTAGTAGGAATTGCTTCATACCTTTTAATACATAAGACCCACTTGCCAGTTTCTACTGCCTAGTGTGCAAAAGGCCATCACCACAAGCACACCAGTACTGGAAGCAGTGGGAATATTTTATTTATTCATTTTTGCTTACTTCTAAATGGGAAAGGTAGATCAAGAACTGCACCACTTTGGTAGATGCCAACTTCTAAGTTAATAAATTGCAGTTTCCTTCTACAGCTAGGAAAGACATTAATCACAACAGCAGGAGTATTTACCTGTGTGACACCTTTTATGATAAATCAGCATGTGGTTCTGAGTGAATCTTGCACCACATTCATCACAGGCAAAAGGTTTTTCCCCTGTATGAATTCTGAAAGTACAACATTCAGATGGTAACTTAGAATGTATTTCAAATGTCACTTTGCAATATAATTTTCACTCCAGCCTGCAAAGATAGTTTATTCCGTGAGACCTAATAAGAATGACTGGAGTGAAAGGTAAAGAGGCCCATATGCTCCATCCCCAAATCCATGTATGCACAAGCCCAAAAGACTAATACATTTCCCCACAAGACACTCCAGGTCCACCCACACCTGCTATAGGGTTTATGCTGTACGGCATGTGCAGGCAGAGACCATGCTTTTACATATTTTTAAAAACACTAAACAGCACTGTGTAATATTTGTAGTTTCCTTCAGAATAATCAACCACAAACACCTTAGGAACTATTGCTGATGAAGTACCACATGACCAAAAATTTTACTATCATTTCCTAATACTATGTATGACATAACCAGTCCAGAAAGAACTGTTCTCAAAATGCCAAAGAAACCTGGTTTCTGAAAATGCATAAGTATTTTAATTTCACAACTAGTATGAAGGAGCTATCAACCATGATTTACTGAGGACTTCCTAAGCCAAGTTTTTAAACTTGTTATATAGAGTAAAAAGATGAACACTATGCTGTCATCCCAAAGACTGGCCCAAGTGTGAGGGCAGATCTATTGTAGAATAGGGTAGAAAACTGCTTGTCTAGATTTGAAACAGAAATACTGAGCACCATAAGGAAACTTACTTAAAAACGATGTCATCCACCTAACAGAAAACACTCCGTCCTAATTCTGGAATATAGACCAACAGATGGCATAGCTTCCAAGCCCGGAGAATGAACAGATGACCAGAGAAGTGTCCTAAAGCCCTAAATGTCATTTCACTGAGGTCTTTAAAGGGACTGTGGGACCCAGATGGTTAAAGGCCCAAGTTCTAAATGAAAGTCAGGAAAGGAAAAATAAAGATAATTAGCCTCAGTTGTGGTGGGAAGTGTACATATCAGAGGCTCCTCTGGGAGTGGGAGAGCCCTGGCCTGCAGTACGTGCCAGATAAGACCTGCAGGGCCTGTGTGTTCAGCAGCCCTCTGCTGCCCTGATTCTATGTCCAGGCTTCCATGCTGTGGCCATGGACTGAAGCCAGGAGGTCATCATTGGCCTGATGCCTGTAGGAACACTACTGGATTTCTGTAGTGTAGAACAAGACCATCTCATAGCATCTCTACGCAGAAAGAATTCAAAGATGCTTCAAAATAGCTCTCCAACTTTTAGAGGGAACAAGTAATAAAGTGAAATATCCAGAGATGTAGCCACACTAGTCCAATCCTAGAACTACCTCAATTTCTGACATACATTTCAAGAAAATTAAGCCACATTCTGGAAAAAGTATTTTCTGAGGGTCTCTGCGATTTCCCACACCAGTAAGCTGGAGCACATACCTCATATGGGTCTTCAGTGCAGAGGGTTGCGAGAACTTGGCTTCACACTCGGTGCAGCTGTAGGGCTTGAGGCCCGTGTGTGTCCGCTCGTGGAGCCGCAGGGCTGTCTTGGAGCTGAGGCCCTTGCCGCACTGCTGGCAATGGTGCCGCTCACCACCCCCCTCATGGACCTGCACCACATGCCGCTTGACATCCTTCTTCCTCTTGAATTTCTTCCCACAGAGCTCACAGGGGAAGTGACGCTCGCTGCTGTGCACGTGGCGCTGGTGGCTCTTCAGGTTGCAGCGGTTGGCGAAGGTCTGGCCACAGGTGTCACAGCGGTGAACCACCTCAGTGGCCATTCCGTGGTGATGCCTGATGTGCTTCAGGAAGCTCTTCTCATACAGAAAAGCCTTTTCACATACAGTACACTTAAAGTTGCTTTTCCTCTTCTCGCCCTCCTCGTCCTCCCGCCCTGCCTTCTGTAGCACCTCCTCCACCTCAGCACTGCAGTTCTCATTCTTTGTTGTTGGCTCCATCTCTGTTCCCACAGTGTCTGGGCTGGGGTCTTGGAGACACCTGTAGTCCCCTGCGTCATCCTTGGCACTTTTCTGCTGCTCTCGGAGTCTTCTTGTGTATTTCTTTTTAGGAATTTCCACAAATACCTTTCTGCCAGCCAGCCTTCCACTAGCTCTTCTGATTTTAGGGTAGGGAGGCTTAACTACATCTTTCCTCTTGTCTGGTTTCTCCTTGGACTTCCTCGAGGGCATATTTAACAATAGGCCATTGCTGATTCTCTGCACTGAGGGATCTGAGGAGTCCACGAGGCCATTAGGGAGAGGACTGTCCACAGCCAAACCTGCCCTAGCCTCAGGAGCAACACTGCCTTGGGAGCTACTGCTCCCTTCCACCTCCTGAGACTCAGAGAAATTCTGCAACTCCAAAAGTACTGACTCTAACATCTGTTTCTTTAATTGAAAACAAGTTTCTGATAAGTCCAAACATTTGAGCTTTTCAGCCATTTCCAGCATTCGCTGTACCCGATCTTCTTCCACCTGTACCTTTGCAGTATAGACAAACTCAAGAAATGAAGCAAAGTCAACTACTTGCACTTCATTTAAGTAGACGTTGGTCCTAGTACCATCCACAGTCTTCTCATTAAGGAACATTTCCTTAAAAAACTTACTAGTGGCTGCCAGCACCGCCTTATGGGCCATGAATTCTTCACGGACACCCTGGTACTCTACGCTGACAGTCACATCACACAGGTGACCCAGAAGTCGTAGTTGATGCATTTCATGCAGAAGGTTAACTGGTGAGGATTTGGATTCCAGCAGAACTGCACCACTTTCCATGTTTCTAAAAAAAACAACTTTGAAAACAAAAACAAAAATTATTTCATGCATGAGCAACCACCAAAATAAAAGGATTAAAATTATGAAGATTCTTTGAGTTGTTTAGAGGATATAAACTGATTTAACAACCTAAACCTAACTTTTCTCATGTAAAGGTTCAAATCACATTTCTCTTATTAGCAGTTTTCTGAAGTGAAGTCCTGATGCACCTTCATAAGATAATTTTTTATGACAAAATAGCATATTACTAAGATTTCCCGAGGATAAACATAAATAATTAAAATTATAATTAATGAAATACATTAAAACAGTAATTTGCTTATCTAGGTCATTTTCTAGTTTGCTTATAGACACAGACCCCAAAACGGTAATAGAATTTATGGCAACAACATCTAGTTCTTTAACCAGGAAACCAAACAATTAAAACACATGGCTGCCACTATCTGGAAGCAAACCTTAAGAGAATCATGTCTGCCTCTGAAAACCACCAAATAATAAATAACTACTTTCCATAGGAGAAAGAAAACTTCATGGAAAAGTAGTCCACAGTCTATGGCCATTTCCAACACCCCTAAATACCTCATAATTTGAATTACCGTTACTCCAATATTGAAGTAATGCAAGTCCCACAGCGTTTATAAGCTGTGTTACCTTGAGTAAGTAACTTCTCTGAATCTTAGTTTGCTCATTTGAAGAAGGCTGGCAGACTGTTGTAAGTCTTCAGTGAGTGCAAACATGTCAAGTGTTTACAGCTGGACCTGAGACTTGTTCGCTAGTTGTTATAGACTTCCCATTCACCAGGCCTAGGTGCTGTTATTATCCCATTTCACAGATGAGGAAGGAACTAACAAGATAACAGTAAGTGATCTGGCTGGGACTTGAGCCTGGGCCTGGTAGGACTCTGGACTCATACTGAAACTGTTCAGCACACCCCTGACTTCAGCCTTGCCAAATGCAGAGTTGCTTTTACTCCCTCCATCTGTCCACAGCCATGGGCACTGCAAATTTCACCCCCACCTCATCCTGAGGTTGGTTTCCTTGCTTTCCATGGTACCCCACACCATCTTGGGTCATTTGAAGAAATGGTTTGCTGGCTTTCCTCACACCTCAAGACTCCCTGAATATGGGTTCACCCCCATCCTTCTACTCCTGAATCGTCCTCTTCCAAGTTTGCTTTGGTTTCTAAATCTCCACCCACCCATCCAAAGTGCCCACTTTCTTTGTAACCTCCTTCACCCAGATCTTAGATGTCATCTCAGACTCAACACATCTAGAGCAGAACTTGCTTCATCTTCCCTGAAGAAAGTTCGCACCTCTCCCCACTTCTCCAGTACCATCTGTGGTACCTGAGGCTACAACAGGCTCCCCACAACCACCAGCCCTGCCAAACACGAAAAAAGACTGCCCTCTGAGAGTTATCTGTAAAAACGACATCTACAAGGCCTGAGCAGTGTCACTTGAAGGAGACTTGAGACTCCACAGTACACTGAAAATACCGACCAAACCTAAGTCAAGGCTTGGCGGGTGTGTGTGTGTGTGTGTGTGTGTGTGTGTGTGTGTGTGTGTGTGCGCGCAGAACCCTAACACTAGCCCATGGACTTCGGGGTGTGTGTGTGTGTGTGTGTGTGTGTGTGTGTGTGTGTGCGCAGAACCCTAACACTAGCCCATGGACTTCCACTGATTCCAGCCCCAGGCTTGGTAGAAATGGCTGAGGATGGTTCGCTTAGCCTGACGCCCATGCTTGCCAGCAGCCCTCCACTTCCCCGAACCTCTGCCGTCCCAGCCCTTGAGCAGACGGTCAGGGCGGCCGAACAGTAACTTCGGAGTCAATAAAGTAGTTTCTGGACATGATTTCCCATTTTGCCCGAGCTCGGAAAAGGAAGGAGTGAGAAAGGCAACAGGGATATTCGGGTCTGGGTGACAGCGGCATCTACTGTAATTGACTGGCACCCTGGCAGCACCTCTGTCCCAGAACATCGTCCTACCTTCGGTTTCTCTGCGCGGTCCCTCTACACTGAGGAGGCTGCAGCGCTACAACCGGGCCTAAGCTTCAGTGGGCATCGCATCTGACCGCGCCCGCCCTCGGACCGCCACCGCAAACTCGCCACCCGCGTGCGATCGCCCCTTTACCCCTCCAACCCACACAATTACCAAGGACACACGGCCCCCGCTGCAGGCGGACCCGAATGCCTGCTCCGCCGCATGAACGGCGCCCGCGTGATCAGGCCTGGCCCTCCGGCCCGGCCGCGCCCGGCCCCCGGCTCCTGCATCCCTGAGGCCCTTCGCTCCTTCGGGACGGGCCCGCGCGTACAGCCAGGAGGCAGCGCTTGGGGCAAGGGGCCAGGCAGGCCCGCTGGCCGAGTACTCACCGCCCAGCAGCAGCCGCCGCCGCTGCCGCCGCGCGTCCGCTGGACCAGGCCGGCGGTGTGGGCCGGCCAGCTGGGCGGGGCGCGGCACCGGCGCGGACACCGCTAATTGGCTGCTGCCGGCCCGGCCCCGCCCCCTATCGGCCCTGCCCCCTCGCTGGGCTACGGAAGGGCCTACGCCCGCACGTCCTACTGCTGAGGCCGTTCGGGCAGAGTTACGTGATCCGACGTACACTGGGGCCACACGTCTGGCGGGCCGTACAAGATTGCGTCACTGGCCGCGAGCCACATTGGCGCCTGCGCAGAAGGCAGCGATAGAGGCGTTTCCGCTGCGCGGCGCCACGGGCGGCCTGGGCTACTCCGGAAGGACATGTGAATGGCGTGGTCACCTTGAGTCTATCCTAGCCGCTCTCCCGCGGTGCGGGCACCTCTCGTGCAGTGTGTGTCCAACGTCTTCCACTCAGAGGTGAGGCGGGTTTGCGAAGCGGGCCAGGCCCCCAGGCAAGGCATTGGCAAGGGGCAGATACCCCGCTGGCATCTTCCGGCTGGCGAGTGGCGGACAAAGTGCGTTCACGTACTGCAGAACGCGGCCAGGTTGGATCGGGTGTTCAGGCAGGCGCCTGCCAGGCAGCGGGCATACTCTTACTCTCCATTGCACAAGTTGTGTCTGCTCGCTTGCGGGCCGGGAAAGAATTCAGGAAGTCAGGTAGCAATATAGATTTATTAAAGTAAGAGAAGGGTAAGCTGGGTAGAGTCTGCAGGAAACTACTGCAAACTACTTCCCCGAGTCTTTGTTTGGTCTCAAGTTATATTTATATTTTCCTGTAGTTGGGGGTGGGGGAAGGTGTGGTAAAAGCTGATTATCACAACCTTTGCATATATTATGTAGATTTAAGTTGGAGCCAGGAGAGTGGATCCCATACAGATGCAGAACCTCTCTCAAGTCACAGGGCTAGCATTGGGCCTAAGTAAATAGAAATATTGACACTGCATAATAAATGTATAGGAAGCAGAATAATTAAGAGGCAAAGAAAAGAAAGCTTTCAGAAAGTTCCAAGTAAATTACAGTTATTAATTTGAATTATACCAGCGATCCAAATCTCAAAAATAGAAGATTTACTGCCACTATTACAATCCCCTGTCTTAACTGCATGGTGATTGTTCCGGGAGTACCCAACCACACATGTGGCTTGATGGGTCATTGCAGAACTTCCCCCAAAGACCCATCAGTGCCTCAGTGGGAAACAATTTAAGCCCTAAGAGTCTAAATTCTTCTGCTTAAAATCTTGCTGCTTCCACCTAGCCTTATGCAATATTAATCAAAACCGCACTTTGCAAGACTCCGCAGGAATCACACTTCCAGTTCTGTTAATTCTGACCTTGGCGTATGACTTCCCACCACTGCTAAAGCTTTGCGAGGTCATATTCTCCCTACTGCTGCCAGCATTACATTTAGCTTTGACATATCTACAGCTTGCATTGATAATGTTTGGGAATGTGAGACAAACAGATTAAAACTAAGAGGCTTAATGCTCTCTATTAAAAATAAGGGAAGACGTTTTTCCTCTCCTTTTTCTTTGAGCATGTACTTTAGAAAAATGGTCATTGTAAGTAGTCATGCACTGAATAATGACGGTTAGATGGCCCACATATAGGACAGTGGTATACTGGATAGCAGATGTGTAGCAGGCTCTACCATCTAGGTTTGTGTAAGTTAACTCTTTGATGTTAGAAGAACCACGAAAAAATGACAGAAGTCACTGAACTAGCATTTTTCAGACTGTATCCTGGTGTGGTTATTAAGTGGCCTATGACTATAGTCTATCCTGTCTTTGAAACATACATAAATCCTTTAGAAGACTGGGTAGGCTTTGCCTTAGCTTTAAAGTTGGGAGCCATCCCTTCAAAATGTAAACATACAGGGAGTTAGTGCCCTTTCCTTGAGAGGGTAGGAGCCTAACTTCGGTGGGCGTCTTGCTCTAAATTGAAAAACTAACTCCTGTCGTAAGGATATGAAAAGTCTGCTTTTCCCCTGGATAAAGCCAAATAGCTAACCTAGATGGTCATCCCACGTCTCCTCTCTGTAATTTCCTCCAAACTGGTCCCAAGTCTTGGGTTAATTATAATGAAAATTAAAAAAAAACTGTTTAATGCTTACAATGGGTGAGCCACCATGCAAAGCATCTTACTGGTATGAGTCACTTCTCATAAAACTCTATAAAGAGGTAGTATTATCCCCATTTTTCAAATGAGAAAACAGGCACAGTAAGCACCCAGTGAGGATTTGAACCTCCACAGCGTGAGCTCTGCCCAGACCACACCAGCTCCCCACATACAGCAGAACAAAGAAGCTTTCTCTTCTCAGATCAGGTAGAAAATCAAAAGGAACTAGAGAAGGTATGATTAAATAGCATCCCTGGGGCTGGCCGAGTGGCGCATTGGTTAAGAGTTGGCTTGGGACGCCAGCTCTGAGCAGCAGGGCTCTGTTTCGGATCCCACATGAGGGCCAGTGACGCTGTGCCCTCTACAGCTAAGATGGTGAACAACAGCTCGATTTGGAGCTAGGCTGCCGTGAGTTGCCAGTGACAGCGTAGGCTGCAGCCCCTCTGCAGTGGACTGCAGTGAGCTACCGTAAGTGGCTGGCAGCTGGTGTGAGCTGCCGTGAGCCGCTATGAGTGGTGGTCCAATGGCCGGCGAGCAACTGCCTCACCCGGGTAGAGCGCAATGACAATACCAATAGGGGTCAGTGAAGCTACGTCCTCCACAACTAGACTGAAGAACAAAAGGACAGCAACTTGTCTGTTCCCCTTCTCCGATTCCCAATAAAATCTTAAAAAAAAAAATAGCATCCCTGGTTTGCATGACTTCAAAAGTGAACACTGGGAAGGAAGTGTGGTTTGTAAGATATTGGGGAGTGGTGGGGAGGGAGAGATGGGGGGACAGACAATGACAGTTTCTTGCAGAAGCCCAAGGATCTGGCCCTTATCTGCTTAACTGCATCACCTCCTTCTCTGACCATTACACTCTCCTGGCCACATGGTTCTGGACACAGGTCTGGCAGTGGCCACAATCCCCTCAGCACAGGCCATTTGCACATCCTGTTCTGATACTCCCTCTTCCCCCAGTTAATTCCTATGCATCACCTTGCATTCAGTCATCTCCCCCCCAAAAACAACCCCATCTCCCTGACCGGGACAAAGCCCCATAGCATAAGTTCAGTTTTTCCCTCAATAGCTACATAACTTCCAGGTAATTAGAGGCATTTAGGAAATTGGTGACAGGAGTCCTGTCTAATCACTAAAGATGAAGGAGTTTGGAAAAGGTCATTTGCCGTTTAAAAAGTGTTTTAAAACTGCAGACACTGTTCTTAATGATTTTCCTAAATTATCTGATGGTAGTTCTGGACTGATTCTTTTTTATTGTGATAAAATAAAAACATAAAATATACTAATTTAGCCATTTTTAAGTGTATAATTCAGTGTCATTAAGTACATTCACAATGTTCTACAACCTTCACCACTATCCATCTCCAGAATTTTTCATCATCCCAAATAGAAACTGTACCCATTAAACAATAACATCCCATTCCCTCTTCCCCCCAACCCCTAGCAAACACCATTACACTTTCTGTTTATATGAATTTGACTACTCTAGATACATCACGTAAGTAGAATTATACAAACTGTGGCCTTGTGTTTCTAACTTACTTCACTTAGCATAATGTTTTCAAGGTTCATCCATGTTGTAGCAAGTATCAGAATTTCATTACATTTTAAGTCTGACTAATATTTCATTGTATGAATATGAGGTGTGATCAAAAGATGGTGTTTAAATAAAAAAAAGTATTACAGTAAAAGACACATTGCCATTAATCCCCTTTAAAATACTCCCCCTCGCTTCTAACACACTTATCCCATCATTTTTGCCACTTTCTGAAGCAGTTCTGAAAGTCCTCTTTCGTGAGTGTCTTTACTTCATCCTCCATCATGACAATGCTCTGTCACACATTGCTTCTGGTATGGTGGCAATTTCTGTCAAAAACATTACAGTGTGACCTCATCCACCTTATTCACTGGACTGGCACCATGCGACTTCTGACTCTTCCCCAGTCAAAATGACCTTGAAAGGAAAATGTTTTGAATCGATTCAGGACATCGAGGTAGCCACAACAGTGCAGCTAAAGACACTCATTAAAGAGAACTTCCAGAACTGCTTCAGAAAGTGGCAAGGACAATGGGATAAGTATGTTTGAAGCAAGGGGGAGTATTTTGAGGGGGATTAATGGCAACGTGTTTTTTACTGTAATTTTATTTTAGACATTCACCATATTTTTTTTATCACACCTCGTGTACCATATAAGGACGAGCAGGAAAAGAGAAGGAGAGCACACACTAGAGAGGACCCAGTCAATTTATTTAGCAATATACAATAGCAAAAGACAAAGTCAATTAAAGGGCAATTAAGACTAAACTATAGGGCCAACTGAGTGGCTCGTTGGTTAAGAGTTGGCTTGGGAGAGTGAACTCTGAGCAGCAGGGCCGCCAGTTCGGATCCCACGTGGGCCAGTGACACTGTGCCCTCCACAGCGAAGATGTTGAATGACAGCTCGACCTGGGCTGCCGTGAGTCACTGGTGACAGCGTAGGCTGAAGTGGGGCTGCAGTGGGCTGCTATAAGCTACTGTGAGTGGCTGGCAGCCAGCGTGAGAGGCCGACAGCCGGTGTGAGCTGCCGTGAGCTGCAATGAGCTGCTGTCCAGTGGCCGGTGAGTGACTGCCTCAGCCGGGAAGAGCGCAATGATCACAATACCAACATGGGCCAGTGAAGGGACATCCTCCACAACTAGACTGAAGAACAAAAGGACAGCAACTTGCCTGTTCCTTTTCCCCGATTCCCCAATGCTGTTCCCTCCCCCAATAAAACCTTTTAAAAAAAAGACTAAACTATACACATTAATAACAATATTATGTCAAAGAAGCTCACCAAACCGTGGGAAGACACTGGAGAGGTCGGGAAACAAAAGACCTCGCCAGGTCTGTGAGTGTCCCCCAATGCTACAAGCTGCATGTAAGCTCATGTTCGAAATCACTGCTATGCCCCAATGTTGCAAGCTGCATATAAGTTCAAATTCCAAATAATGATGCTGATGAAAGAAGGAAAAGAAGAGTGAACTGCCAATTGAGGTCTGTCTTATATGTCTCTTCAGATGTACTTTAGAGCCAAGTTTTTGTTCCTGCCTCACCCTCAGGGAATGGCTAGTTCTGCAAGGGTTTGGCAGTTAATTTGATAAGGATATTGCTTATCCGGCTGAAGGGCCAGTTAATCCAGACAAGCAGCCTGTTCCTGCCTGGGGCCATTGGCCCAAGGCCAGTTAAGGCTTGACAACGTGCCCCCCCCCCCCCCCCCCCCCCGTCATGTCATTCTGGGAGAAACACACAAAGAGAACTTCACCTCATATCTCCCCTGCCAGGAATGAAATGGAGGAACAGACCAAAAGGAACAAAAAGAAACCAACCATCACCTCATGTCTTCACGTCCCCCCTGCCAGGGAACATGAGGGAGAAAGAGAAAGACCAACCATCACCTCATGCCCCCCCTGCTGGGGAACATGAGAGAAAGAGAGAGACCAGCCATCACCTCATGTCTTCATGTCTCCCCTGTCAGGGAACATGAGGGAGAAAGAGAAAGACCAACTATTACCTCATGTCCCCCTTGCCGGGGAACATGAGGGAGAAAGAGAAAGACCATTACCTCATGTCCCCTGCCTGGGAACATGAGGGAAAAAGAGAAACAGACCAAAAGAAACAATGGAGTCACATCAGCCAATGAAGGCGAATTTTCCTAACCTAACATGTTTTCCACATACCACATCTTCTTTATCCACTTATCTATGGGTGAACATTTGGGTTTCCATCTCTTTGCTCTTAATGCTGCTATGAATTCTATGTACAAGTATCTGAGTCCCTGCTCTTACTTCTTTGGGGTATATATCTAGAAGCAGAATTGTTGGATCATATGTTAATTCTATACTTAAGATTTTGAGGAACCTCCAAACTATTTTCTACAGAGGCTGCACTATTTTACATTCCCACTGCACAAGGGCTCCAATTTATCCACATCCTCGCCAATGGACTGAACAATTTTTAAGTAAGGGATTTTTACATATACATACTGTCTTCAGCATGATATATTTATCAAAACTCTCAGTTTAAAAAAATAATCCTCAGTCTTCAGGAATTGAGCTCAACTAAATGTCTTCAAGAAAAGCCTATATGACAATTCATTATGAGATGGGAAACATGAACAAATGACACATTACTTTGGAAAGAGTACAGATTCCATTAAAACTGAAAAATACATATATCCTCTCATCATGAACATCACAGTTGAATAAATTTAATCCAGCTACAAAAGATTTTAAATCAGCTTTGTTTCAACACAGAATGTCAAAATAGGTGATGCACCAGGTTTTATAGAACAATTTCAAATAAAGCCTTGTTGCAACATTACTGCACATAAAGTATTTAGAATGTGTTAGAAGTCTAAGTAGATATGAAAACAAGATACATGGAAAAGAGCAGCTGGATAATGTGTTCTGACCAAGTTGGTATTCAGTGCTGAAAAGACTTCTTTAGTAGGGTGTCATAATAGCTTTAGTGCCTGACCAAGTGAAGAAACCAGATATGATTATTATAAATTTTATATCCAGTTTCTATTAGAAATGCTACATTATCAGGTACCAAGGTGGAAATTACATCAAGCTTATCAAAATCCCTTTAGAAATCAATAAGGAAAAAAACAACAAAAGCCCAATACAAAACTAGCAAAGAACGCAAGTAGACAATTCACATAAGAGTACATATGGCAGAGACAATATGAGTAGAATACAGACATACATCAGAGATATTGTGGGTTTGGCTCTGCTCCACACTACTGAAATAAAGCAAGTATTGCTGTAAAACAGGTCATAATCTTTTTGCCGGTGGAGGGTCTTTGCTTTCAATTTGTAAAAATAAAACACATTTGTGGAACACAATAAAACGAAGCTCAATAAGACAAGGTATGCCTGTACCTGATAAAACTGATAAACCAGTGAATATGACAGATTGACCCAAAGTTAAACATGTTTGATGCAGCTGAAGTTTGCATGGGAAATGCAATCTCCGTCAGTTTGGGGGGGAAATTCAAGTGTGTGTGTGCGTGCACGCAGTAACTGTCCCTACCCTTAAGCCATCCTGAAGTAATAAATGGGCATTAACAGTTTTGATTTACGGTCATTCACTGCTGTGCACTTATTTAATGCTAGTGAAAATTTGGAAACAACCTACTCACCCACAAGGAAACCACTATGATACATCCATGCACTGATTTATTTTTCCTTTTTTTTTTTTTTTAAGAGAAAGACCTTTAGAATTTCTTTTTTTTAAAAACTTTATTGGAGGGAACTATGTGTTTTTTCCAGGACCCATCAGCTCCAAGTCAAGTTGTTGTCCTTTAATCTTAGTTGCGGAGGGCACAGCTCACTGGCCCATGGGGGAATCGAACCGGCAACCTTGTTGCTTAGAGCACACACTCTAACCAACTGAGCCACCCAGCCACCCCCATGCACTGATTTATTATGCAGTCACTAAAACAACATCTAAAAAATGTTCAGTGGAACACAAGTAATCATTTCACAACGTATATCTAATTATCCCATTGACACTTTTAAAGATACACCATTAATTTGTCAATTACATTTCAATAAAGCTGGAAAAATGTTTAATGACTTGGGAAAATACTCATCATGTTATGAGTAAAAAAGGCTACACTATTTTACATAGGGAACTATCTAATTTAAAATCCTATAGAACTAGACTGGAGAGAACTATCAAATTATAAACTGCCGTAAGGGGAGCGCAGAAGAATTTTACGCCGCTTCTACACCCCTCTTACCTGCTCCCGCCCCGCCCACCACGGCCCCGCCCACCACTCTTACTCTGCCACCCTTGGGCCCCCAGGCCGGGCCACTCCCCGCATGGGCCCGCGAGAGCACCGCGGAGGGGCCGGGCTGGCAGCTGTGGCTCCGTGGCACTCGCTGCCCATTGGCTGTCAGGCAATTTTCCAGGTGGTCCGGAAGGGAAGTCTCAGCATGATGACGTCCTTGAGACCCAGAAGTGCCGCTAAGTAACCAGCGGGTGCGGCCTTGAAAACATCTGTGTCTTAACCTTGGGATTATGGTCAGCGGTTTTAGTCTAGCGCTCTCCCCTGCACTGTCTTCAGTACCCCGATTTTCCTTGATGGCCAGGCATCCCCACCCTCCGTCAATCCTCTAGGCGGAGACGCTGGGAGCCATCGGCACAGCACTGTAGGTCAGAGGGCCATTGTGGGCATGGTCTGGGTTATGGGTAGCTTCTGCACATCCGCGAGGGGAAAGTAGTCCTGGTGGCCGCCACAGTCGTAGAGATCTGGAGCCCAGGCGCAGTCGTGGGCTCTAGTGGAGGAAAGATGTCGCCGCCTAGTGGGTGATTTTCCTAATGTGCGGATTCCAAGTCTCTAAAATGCTGCTACAAATTAGATTACATTCCATAGTAGATGAAATTAACCCTATTTAGGGAAGTTTGGGGGTCATTCAAGATCTTATTTGAGTTTTAGCACATGTCTTAACCTGCGTTAAGTTTGGGCAGACTCACAAGGTTAGTTGGTGGTTTTTAAATATTTAGAAGATACATTTTTGAGAGACACTGCCCCCCATATTTTTCAGTGAAACATCTTTGGAGACTTAATTCCTCAGGTCAGGCTCAGGTTAGGATGTTCTATGGCAAGCAGTGAGGCAACTCCTGAGATGCATCCACAACTTGAATGCCCTTCTGGCTGTGAAAACACATTCCTAATTCCTAATTCTTAAATGATACTTTAATTTAAAAAGCAAGACGTGCACACTGTATGACGAGTCTAAGAGGCCATAATAGCATCAAATCCCTTGTCCCCACATTAAAACCCTGGAATTCAGGCCGACTGAGTGGCTCAGTTGGTTAAGAGCGTGAGCTCTGAGCAACAGGGTTGCCAGTTTGATTCCCACATGGGCCAATGAGCTGTGCCTGAGCTGAGCTGCCTCTGAGCTGCCAACGGTTTGCGAGATGACTCAGCTGGTGAGAGCACGTGCTCCAAACAAGGTTGCTGGTTGGACTCACATGGGATGGTGGGTATGACGGACCAGCCGCCACAAGTCGATCAGTACCTGAAGGGGGGAGCGGGAATGAATAAAAGACACTCACACGACTGCTGATGTGGTCGGTCTTCAATGATGCTGAAGCCCCGAGTTTATTTCTCATCACCAATATATGCAGTTTGAGTACGTGCAATACTGCAGGTACAACTACGCATTACCTCATACAGAAGCAGATCATTAACTATCTACTGGAGACTTAAAGATCAGGGGGGCTTTAGGGGATTAGCTTCCCAGGACACTTTCTTCCATTAACCAAGATAGCCATCTATCTATAGTATCTCCTAAGGAACTGGCTATCCTCACCACATTCCTCAACAACTTGTAAGCACCCTCCAGGTGCAGGCAGAGACAATGCCTTAGGAGCAGAAACAGGTTAAGCATTAACTGAGCCAGTCTGTAAGGCTCTGAATTACCTGTAACCATGGCTCCCCACAGGTGGGCTATGCCCACCCGCAACTAAGATTGAACACACACCTTGAGCTGAGCGGCCATGAGCTGCTGTCGGGCAGCCGGATGGCAAATGGACTTGGAGCTGAGCTAGCTGTGCCCTCCACAGCTGGAATTGAAGGCAACAACGTGGCTGTTCCCCTTCCCCAATTCCCCAACACTGTTCCCCTTCCCCAACTCCTCAATAAAAAAACCAACAAAAAAACCCCTGGAATCCCATCCCTCCTTAGGGGGGGATCATTAAGTTTTGGCCAATTTTTCCATGCATACAGAGCAAGCCTATACCATAAGGAATCACATCCCTTCCCCTTTTTAAAACATAAATCAATTTCTTCATCTGTAAAGCATAGTTGAAAATAGTGCAGAATACCTGTAACATTCTTAGGATGTTCTTACTAGGTGGTTAATATTCTAAAGAGTCTAAACTTTGTTTTTGTGACTACCAATTAATATTAAAGGTTGTTTCATATCATTCATATCTTTTCAAGGCTATATAACAATCCATTCTGTAGAAATAGTATAACCTGTTTTTCTTTTTCTTTTCAAATTAGTTTTAGGTGTATGAAACAATGTAATAGTTAGACATTTACACCCCTCACAAAGTGACCTTGGAGAAGATTACATCCCCAATTTTCTACCCCTCTAACATCATATATAGCTGTTACAATTCCATTGACTCTATTACCTATGCTGTACTCCACCTCTTGTGACTATATATATATATATATATATATATATATATATATATATTAACTTTAATTTCTTATTGGTGGATGTTTAGGGTGCTTTCACTATTACCACAAAGATACTATGATGAATTATATAAAGATGAATGTATGTGGACAATTGCATTTGCAAAACACATATACATAGGAATGGAACTACAGGGATGGGAGGGTGAGTTTTAAATGTCATTTGCCCTCAGAAAAGCTTGCACCAATTAGCACCCTCAGTAACTGAGCAGGAGAGCTCCTTTTCCTGGTGCCTGGCCAACATGGGATACGGCAAAATGTTTTGGTGCATTATCCCTATAGTAAATGAAAAGTGGTGACTTACATCAGTTAGACAACAGCTTTGACTGCAAATTGCAGAGGCCCATCAAACTGTCTTAACATGTTAGAAGAGATTTACTGACTCCCAAAAGGCCCGAAAGTAGAGTACATGGGCTTTGGGGTTGGATTAGTCCCATAGTGGATCAAAGCTACCAAGAACCTAATTTCCTTTTCCCCTCTGCTCTTCAGTTCTGTTTGCTGGGCCCAGGTTCCTGAATCTGCCATACTTGCAAGGACAATAGAATTACTCTGCCTGAGACCCATTAGGATGTCTACTCAGAGATGATCAGGGGTTCAGTCCCCTGAAAATTTGTTACAAA